AAAAGCAACATCAACTCTTATTTCTTTAATTATATCCTGATTAGTAGTTCTTTGATTTTAAAATATAATATATGAATAAATACTAATAGTTTGTAAATTTAGTATGAAATTGATATTTAATAATTTAATATTGCAATTTAAACGGAAAAATTATAAAAATAATAAAGAAGTTATATTTTGCATTACTTTTACGCGTATAAAAATTTAAAGGGCTTGATACAATAATTATCAATAAAAACTGTTTGTGACTATAAATGAATGCACTGGACTTCAAGGAACTTTCATCAGAAGCAAAAATATACTTTTCTAAATCAACTTTTCGCGTTGTTTTCAAATCTGCAAGTAGACTATTTCTATCACTTCTAATTTTTTATATTATTACTAATTATATATATAAAATAATAATTAAAAGAAAAAAAAATTTGTTTTCAAATTATTACTGATTTGATTTTTAATATGTTAAAAATAATCAGTCCAAATTTTCAATTTTAACCTATTTTTTTGGTTCTTTAAAGTTGATGAAAAATTTTTGATAAACATTTGTGATAGTTTATAGTAAAAATAATTGAATATATTACCATAACTGTTAGCTCAATTACAAGTTTAAAATTGATATCTAGGCTAGTCAACAAAGGAAAAATTGCGGAAAAAATTTCCAAACAAATTTTGTTTTATTAATAGTTTAATTAAAATATGTATAATGACATACTAATAGTCCTCATTGATTGAAATTGAACTTTTTTTTTACAGCCTCGCAAAAGTTCAAAAATATGAGTTTTTTTAATTTTCTCAAATAATATTTAACTTACAAAAAAAGTTTCGTACTAAAGTTGTTTAAAAGAANTTTAACTTACAAAAAAAAGTTTCGTACAAAAGTTGTTTAAAAGACAATTATAAACAAAAAAATTATCTTATATTTTTTCATTTAAACAAATATTTTTCGAGTTACATTACATTTAATATGAGTAGTAAAATTTATATTCCAATTTTTTCATTTTACGGTTACTTTTTATCATGTTATACTTACATTAGACACAATGATATCAATGCATATGTGTGTATGTGTGAGTTTATTTATTTATTGTATCATTAAAGTGTAGTGTATATTAACATACAAGCGATAGAGTAGGTAATTGATTTGACGCTATATTATTTAAACCCAACTAAACGCTAAATTGTACATTCCCAAACAACAATCATATTATGTCAATTGCCACCGGAATTTCTGGTAATCTTTTTCTTTTTCTTGGCCTTAATCCCAACTACTTGGGGTCGGCCACCCTTATCCTAAACTTCCACTTAACACGATCTCCAACATCATCTACACTCACATCAGCTGTCCTCATACCGCATTATAAATCTAAAAAATATTATATTAAATTATTCCAAAACAGATATGAACTATATTTCTATTGAATAATGTAATCTAAATAACATTCTTAATATCGCATTCAATAGCATCCATCTATCTCGTTTATGGTCTTTCTCTATCTCTTCTTACTTCAACATTCTTTCTATAACTATTCTTACAGTTTCCGATTCCTCTCTCCTCAAAAAATGACCAAATAATCTAAGTCTATTTTCTGTCATCTTATCCACGATTGACGCAACACCTATACTTCCTCTTATATGCTCGTTCCTTATCCTATCTTCTCTAGTCACTCCACTCATCCAACTAAGCATTCTCATCTCTGCTACACTTATTCTCTGCTCTACTTTCTTATCAACCGCCCAACACTATGAACCATACATCATAGCTGGCCTCACAATTTCATACTAAATTTAAAAACTATAATTAGTATTTATTCATATATTATATTTTAAAATCAAAGAACTACTAATCAGGATATAATTAAAGAAATAAGAGTTCATGTTGCTTTTAAAATATTTCACCAATTTCTCTAAAGGAAACACTATCTACAGATTTGCATCGAAGCGTTTCTAATGATAGTGATTTTAATCACTGTCAGATATCATCTATACTTGTCCCATCTATGCCTCGTTCACACTTTGCCTCGACCTCACTGTGCTACCGTTTTTTACAATAACTTAATATTTCTTATGTTTCAAAGAAGAAATCAACTTATATTTTGTACATGTTAGTAAAAAAAAATATTATTTAACAAATCCCGTATAACTTCCACGTATTAGATTTAATAAATGATATATTAACCATCATGTTTTTTTACTAAATTCTAAACAATGTAAATTTTAAATGTTATGTAAGCGCATAAAGTAAGACTTTTTTTTATTTTATTGAATTTATTATTATTATTTTGATATTAAAAAAAACCCAGCACAGTGGGGTGGTGGCACAGTGGGGTCGTAGCATAGTTCGGTTCAGTATAGATGATATCTGACAGTGATTAAAATCACTATCATAAGAAACGCTTCGATGCAAATCTGTAGATAGTGTTTAATTTTAAAAAATTGATGGATAATTGCAAAAGCAACATCAACTTCTATTAAAATAAAATACAAAACCCATAATTATCATACAAAAATAGTATATTTTTCAATATGGTAGCCATTTGCGTATAGAAGATAGATCGTCGGGACAAATTTTTTTTTTTCATTTTGTAGTACATAAAATAAGCTTTAATTTTATATATGTTTAAAGGACGCAGTATTTCCGGAACATTTACAAAAATTAAGTTGAAAAAGTTATTTTTTGTAAAAAAGTTACTATTTTAAATCCTCCCAGTGAGCAGAATAAGTGTTAGATTTTCAAAAAAAATTATATCAAATGAAAGGGAAATATCTAAGGTTTCAATACAAAAAAATATTATTTTTGTTTGTTCATTTTTAAAAAGTTATGGCAGTTTTAAGTACAAAAATCATCCCTATAAAAATAATTTTTATCGCAAACATTTAATTTTTTTTTAATTTTCGATAGCCATTTGCACATAGAAGATAAGATGTCGGGACAAATTTTTTTTTTTCATTCGATAGTATATAACAAAACCTTTGATTTNATTTTTTTTTTTCATTTGATAGTATATAACATAACCTTTGATTTGATATATGTTTAAAGGACGAAGTATTTCCGGAACATTTTCAAAAGTTCAGTTGAAAAAGATCTATGTTTTTTACAATATTTCAAGTTTTTACCACCCCCTATATAAGGGGAAATTGTCCAATTTCAATAAAAAGTATGTCAAATGAAAGATGTACTTATAATATATTTAGAAAAAAAAAATTTGTGCTGATACATATATTTTTCGAAAAGTTATAGCATTTTTAAGTTGAAACTTTAAAATCGAAAATCGAAAATTTTAACACAAAAATAGTGTTTTTTAAACTACGGCAGCCGTTTAAATGTAGAACAAAAAGTGTCGGGACAAATTTTTTTTTTTCATTTTTTAGTACATAAAAAAAACTTTAATTTGATATATGTTTGAAGGACGCAGTATTTCCGGAACATTTTTAAAAATTAAGTTGAAAAAGTTAATTTTTGTAAAAAAGTTGCTATTTTAAATCCCCCCCAATGAGCAGGTTAAGTAATAGATTTTCAAAAAAATGATATCAAATGAAAGGTAAATATCTAAGGTTTCAGTATAAAAAAAATTATGTAGATTTGTTGATTTTTAAAAAAGTTATGGAAGTTTTTAGTAAAAAAATTTGAAAAAATTTCGAAAATTAGCGATTTTTAAATTTGTAATTTTTTTGGATGTTTCCCCCATTTACGGGGAACGAGGGAATTTTTTTCAATTTTTGAGGGTAATGTCTTCGACTAGATACGATTTGTGATCTTTTGACGTATCATTGAAAGAAATCGGTTCGGTGAGAGCTGAGAAAAAGTGGTAACAGACACAAAAAAAAAAAAAAA